AAAAAATCACTGTCAAGCAATTTCTTTTCAATTAACTGAACCTAACTATTTTTACTTAAGAATACTAAAAATACTTAGCTGACAGTTTAATAATTATGACTATATATTTAACAGTGAATATTATGGTATTCCTCATACCATTGAATAATAGAGGTAAAAAGAGATGTAGCTTCCTGCCTAAGATTACCAGCCAAGTCTCATATGAACCTTGTTCCTGTACTTTTTTAAATTCTGTTCTTTCTTGTTTTTTCTCTCTCCTTTCTTTCTTTCTTTCTGTCTCTCTCTCTACATCTCTCTCTTTCTGGTTTGGTTTTGTTTTTGTTTTTGTTTTTGTTTTTCAAGCAGAAGATAAAATTATTTGTATCTAGTCTGAACCATCATTTCTCCTAAAGACCTCTGGTTCTCTTCAGTGATGCATATTTCTTTATGAAACTGTTTTGGGAATAGTTATGATTATGTGCCAGTTTGTTATATAAGACCTCATAAACTACTATAGCCTTAGTAAAGAGAGTCACAGCAGAAGTCAATTCATCTCTAATTGTAGCTCAATTTTTTATTTTAAAATAAAGGAATACGTCTTGCTTAATAAATACATTTATATTTGTCAGCATTTTCTGAACTCCTGTACTCTGTTGAATATATTTATATAACAGCTCCTTTTGTTTTAAAATACAAATAATCATCTGCAGATTTGCATGAAAATTCAAGCAAACTTAAAAATGAATTGGCTTGTTCATGAAAACCATGATTACTCAAATTATACCTGGATCTCAATGAGCAGAAACAAATTGCATAATTCTAGCACAGCCTTTCATTTCTAAATCCAGGGTTAACAAATTTCTCTAGACATTTAAATTTCTTCATTAAACTGATTATGACTGAGGATTTACCGCATTCAGTTTCTATCTGTGCTAGCTGTTGGAATACAAAAATCAAGGTGTTTTAGCCATAATAGGAGCACCGTGGGAGAGCAAAACACAGAGGAGGACTCAGCACAACCTGGAAATTGTGGGTGTCCTCCAAGCTCCAGAGCCATGGACCCAGCTGCTTGCTCATAATACCACGTGAACACATCTTCCTTTAAACTGTGTGTCTTTTTTGGTGTCTTCTATTTCAGAGATTGGCATTAACATCCATGCACTTGCACAAGCTAGAAACCTGGGCATAACTTCTCACTCTTCCCCACTCAGCCAAAATCTGCCTCCAAAACCATGTGATGATTCTGTCTCCAAAACTGTCTTGCCCCTCTGCGAGCACCACCAGCCACACTTCTGTCATCCCTTGCTTGGACTTCTAAAGCAGTCTTCAAACTGCTCTCACTGTATCTACTCTTACCCCCTCTATTATCTGCACCCTCACAACTCAGCACACTCGGCATTTTGTCTTCAACATCTATCTTCTTAGCTAGACTAGAAGGTCCGTGAGGAGAAGAACCATGCAGATCTTTTGACACAGTAGTACCAATAGCTTGCATGTTACTTGGTACAAAGTGGTATGAATTAAATATATGTTTAATGAATAAATGAAAGGCTGACAGACAAGGGAAAACAAACACATAAAACAGAGTAAGAGGAAAGAGAAGAATCTCAACAAAGACTGTGGAAAGCTCAATAGTACAATGTGTTCCGTGAACCACAACTAGTTCAGCTGTACTTAATTTTGATATACATACACAGCAAAGAATCCCTTTTAGAGGGAGGTAGCATGGATTCATGAACTTGAAGCACAGGCGTTGGCCTAAATTGTTTTAAATAGGGAAGCAGTAACACAGTCTTATTTGCATTTTTGATAAATAATGACAGCAACAGAGGGGAGAATGTTTAAAGGCAGGTTAGTTAGAATGCTTTTAATTGCAAATTCAGCAAGAAGAAGCTTAAGTAAAAAGAGATTTACTATAAGGATATTGGAATTTCTCATGGAAGTCAATCATAGATAAATGGCTGGGCTATAAGAATATCCTGAAACCTGGATTGTACTCTATTCCTCTCTGTACACCAACTTTAAGGGTATTACTTCAAGCTACTAATATCAATTTCATCAGGTCTTTTATCAGGAAAAGATACTAGCAGTGCATAATAGTATAAAGACAACTTGAATGAAGAGAATATTCTCACAAAATCATTCTGAAAAGGGTCATTTCTGCAGGAGTACTGTAAGAGTTTTTAAGAAATCTATAGCAACATTAAAATGTTAAAGATACGGTTTTGGGTGTGTGCAGTGACTCATGCCTGTAATCCTGATGCTTTGGGAGGCTGAGGTGGGCAGATCACAAGATCAGGAGTTAAAGACCCGTGATCATCATGGTGAAACCCCCATCTCTACTAAAAATGCAAAAATTAGCTGGGCGTGGTGGCGCATGCCTGTAATCACAGCTACTCAGGAGGCTGAGGCAGGAGAACTGCCTGAAGCTGGGAGGTGGAGGTTGTACTGAACCAAGATCACACCACTGCACTCCAGTCTGGGCGACAGAGCGAAACTCTGTCTCAAAAAAAAAAAAAAAAAAAAAGATACTGTTTTGAGAAAGAGCAGTTATCAGTGTTACCTTTTAGTAACTAAGCCTTGCTAAAAGAAGAGACATGGGACAGAGAAAAGAACTAAAGGTAGGCTGGGTCTGTCTCACAATTTTGCCTGGAACTAACCCTAGTCAGGGAGAAATATGCGTTTCCTCTGAAGCCAATGGCAAGATAGAAAAGAGGAAAGAGGCGACTTCAAATCAGTGTCATACAGGAAAAACAGCTCCTGCAAAATTCTGCTTGCATATTTGATAAATAATTATTGTTAAATACATACTTCAGTGATAAATTTCTGAGTTACTGTAACTGCTGCTGTCATAGGCAATGTCAGAAGGTTTGATCTGGTCTTTTTCACCCATTTTTCCCCCATCTGACTTACTAGAGTAATCATTGTCACATGAGGCCTCTCACTTGGGCCAAATATGATTATTTCTTCCCAGTTTTAGAATCACAGTAAGCAATCAAATTTGAAAGATTAAGGAAATCTACATAAATGAGACTGAAAAAAAGCTTATATATTTAGCTACTAGCCTGTTTTGCTGATTTTCAGTTAGAAAAATGTTGGCTGTTTGTGTAGAGATTTCTCAAGAGGACACATAAATGAGATGTTGCAATTCTTGCTACATGTAGTTTATCATTAAACGAACGTGGCAAATGTTATTGCAAAAGCAGAGATAAAGTTTAATCTTTAAAACAATGAAAGAATGAGTTGGTCTTAAACTCTGTATTAAAATTTGTGGGAAATAATCTGAGTGTGTCTTTTTGAATGAACTAATCATCAGAAGATAACTGAAATATGGTTAAATATAAGAGATACAGGAGTATAAATACATTATATTATTTTAAATAAAAATGAAAACTGTAGCAATACACTAATGTGTTAGTTATTTCTCTGAGTTCTGGGGGTCTGAGTACTTTTTAAATTTTTCCACACTCATTTGGAGTTTCATTTCCAAATAATTTGCCATAGAACTAAAATACATTTTTTTAATTAACTTGCACAGTAAACTAAGAATTGGGCCAAAGGGAACAGAAAATTTAGATTTATATTAGTCAGGAAGTGGATCATTGAACAGGAAAGGGTTAGCTCTTGGACAGAAAAGCTATCTCCTTGACCATATGGATTTCCACTGGCCTTACAGAATACTTGTCCTTTGATCTGACATAGGTATATTTGTCCAACTAGCTGGACTTCTTTTCTGAAACTAACACCCAGGAATTTTCAACATAGATAAGAATCTGACTAAACATGTAACTGCTTAAATTGGTTTACTGAGATTTTGATGGACTCTGCTCTTGTAGATAATCCTTGGCTACTGAATTAATAATGAAGTTTTAAATCATGTATCTGTGAGACACTGGACACAGGGCTGGCTTTAACATCTTCTGCTGAGTTTCAATGGCCTCATTAGTTCCATCAACCTTCCCAGATCTTATAAATTTGGAAAGCCAGTGGGAGAAAGTGGCAATAATTAGAATAATAGTAATAGATGACATTAATCCATGTTACTATGTGATGGATGTTACCATGAGCCCTGCACCTGGATTATCTTAACCTCATAGCCATGCTGTGTCCAATGTACCGAGTCATCACCACGTTCCATATGAGGAAAATGAAACTTAGAGGGATAAATTTCCCAAGGTTACACAGCTACGAAAGCTGAGTAAGGATTTGATTTTAGAGTCTGTTTAACAACTTGTAACTGACCATTTCCTGAAAAGAGGACTACTGAAAAAACCAGGAGTGGAACTCATCTAATTCCAATGAATGATCTACCTGTGACTCTCCGGATAAGTCACAGAATTTACGCACTGCTAAGTTCCCTCTTCGGTAAAATGAAGATGTTGGATTCCATGTCCTGCAAGACCTCTCTGAGCTCTCAAATTACATGTCCATAAAATATAGTAGATGTGAACTATTAGTAGAAGGAGCTTTAAAATTGCTGTAGGAAGTCCAAGATTTGCCACTAACTTTTTATCATTGGCAGTGAGTGAGCCATTTAACCTCTCTGGTTATTTGTCTCTCTTCAAAGTTTATTTTTAATATATATGTCAGTGCTTCACAAAGTGTAACATAGCACGCAAATACAGAGTCCTATGCTATCACCGCAAAGAAAATTATAGTATCAGGATTATGGATTCTAGAAACTGTGCTGAATGGGCTTCTCCCCTTATTACTTAGAACATCTGGTTTGCAATGTTTTAAGGTAATGCTTATTTGTAGTAGATTTAAACAAAGAGAGGAAGAGAGGTAAAGAGATAGTTTCCAATTTTCCACTTGCATATGAGAAAGGTGGAGTCCAAACAAGACACATAGCCCTATACAGGGGGAGAAGGTGTCCCTTTCAAATGTATTAAATAAACTTTAGTGAGGAACAGCAGTGATAAATAACCTAATACCTTGGCTCTTTTGCAGTTTGACAAAGTTAATGATTAAAATCTCCTAGATTTTCCACTACAGTATCCCTGGGGTGTCTATTTACCTTGATTTTATCTCTTTGGGGCCAAGGATAATAGCCTCTTGCTTCTGTGTAGAGATTAATAATTGATTAATTCATAGTCAGGAATCTTCGTAAAAGGAAACTAGTTACTTTTGGCTACCACCTTTTACATGATCACCTGCAGGAGCCAGGAGGTGCCGCAAGACTCCCTGGTAGAAAAATGAAGAAGGTCCTGGTACTACTCCTGCTTGCTGTGGCATTCGGACATGCTTTAGAGAGAGGTAAGATTTATTTGTTGTCACCATTTACAGGAACTCTTACTAGTTTAATTCTATATTACCACTTAAAAATGAAATAAAAGGTAAGAAACAGAAGAATTGGTGAATATGTTGGGGAGAGGGGTAAGGACTAGAGAGGCATTAATCAGAGCTCCACTATGCCATTTTATGTTGAATTGGTATAGACAAAAAAATCAAGACAAGCATCTTGTTAAAGAAAGAAAACGGAATTATACAATTTGTCAATTATCCCTCCCCTCTTTTTTGATAAGCAAGACCTAAAGAGAATGATTTAAAATTAGACATTTGCTAATTGTGACAAGATGATGCAAATAAAGACCACGATCCATCATTAAGCATTCATTCAGACTTCAAATATTCATTGCCATCAAGAGTATAAGATGCCATGTGAATGATGCATGATGTCAACTTACAGATTTCTCTGACTCCTTTAGAGGAATCCTATACATGCAATATTTGAAAATGTACTGTTTTTAAAAAACCTCTCACATAAAATTTTTCTATAGCTAGGAAACACAACCACAAATAAGATAATTGAGTTATATTTTTTATTAAAATTATTCTTCAGAGGGTGTCTTCATCTTTGGGCAATGTTTCAAAACTTTTTTATATGATACAAACTGAGCTAATGTGAAGTATACAACTTTATGAATTCTACAGCTGGGAAACTTTTCATCATTAGTTTCAATTTATTTTTCTGACTGATTATTTAATGTTCACAAGGAAATCTGCATTTACCCTGCTTTGAAAAATTAAGGTTTTCATTTAGTGCTATCAGTTAACAGCCTCACCTAACTCATACACTATTATTCATATTAGTAATATATTTAACCAGTGGAATAAAATGTATGTTCCCAGAAATTATCAGTTATTTACTGTGACATGAATAACCTTACTCCAGACTTTTTATTCTTCTTCTTACATTTACTTTTCCTTGATCTTACTTTCATCATTCAAATTATTTTAAATCTTGTCTTACCCATCAATTCTTAAGTAAGCCGTGTGTCCTTAGATAAGACTAAAAAGTCTTTCCAAGATAGTTGTAGGGTATAAAAAAGCAACATAAATTGTATCCCTTATAAGACCTCTGAATAGGCCATGTTCCAAGAAATCCCCAAGTCTTATTCTTTTGGCCAAGGCTTTGCTGGGGCAGATATGATCCTGAAAAATCCTACTGAAGCAGGTTCAGATCAGGATCTTTAAACATAGATGGTCCAATAATGGTTAGGAATTTGAATTATATGTAGAGGTCATAACCAGGAGCATGAATCACCATTTTAGACTGCTGACTGAATAGGTGTGCAGTGGCTTCACCTCAAAGAATGACAGTGTCCTTTGGAGAGTAACAGAGCTTTCTGCATTCTCTATTTCAACATTCTCAGTAGATAGTCTATGTGTCTGTGTCTGTGTGTGTTTGTAGATAGATATGTACACATATGTATTCATATGTATAACACTGGTCACGAACTAACTGGATTTAGCTAATAATAATAACTGCCAGGTAGATTCTGCTTCCTAAGGATATAATCGTCTTCACTTTGCAAATGAGAAAACTGAGGAAGAACAGAGAGGATAAGCAACTTCCCAGGGCAGCAGGGATTCAAATCCAGGTGGTCTGCATCCAAAGCCTCTCTCTTAAATCATGATAAAATACAGCCTCCTATGGATGTTTTATTTGGTCCTCATGGTTTGGGCCAACAAAATTTCTTTAAGGTTGTCTTTAAAGTCTCATTTCACTTGTCAACATTTTAAAACCTGGACGTGCCACATAAAAATCAGATTTCCAGCTTCTCTGGAAGCACAGGAAGGTGTGGTAATAAGGGCCAAATTTTCACATGGCAATGATGAACTGGAGCTGAATTGTGACTCCTCCTTTTGGACTCAAACCCCAGTTCTCACCATTGGACATTTAATCGTTTCTTCCCTTGGATCAAATGTAAGTTGTGTGGTTCCTAGATCCTATGAGCATTTGTGTTTTCTAACCTGGGTGTCATGGTAAAATAGTAACTTGAGGTTTAACACTAACTAAAGAAAAGAATATTAACCAACCGAGTGTGGTGGCTCATGCCTGTAATCCCGGTGCTTTGGGAGGCTGAGGCAGGTGGGTCACAAGGTCAGGAGTTCGAGACCAGCCTCACCAACATGGTGAAACCCTGTCTCTAATAAAAATACAAAAAATAGCCAGGTGTTGTGGTGTGCACCTATAATCCCAGCTACTTGGGAGGCTGAGGCAGGAGAATCATTTGAACCCAGGAGCCGAGATCACATCACTGCACTCCAGCCTGGGTGACAGAGGCAAACTCTGTCTAAAAACAGAAAAGAATATTAATCAGGGATTTTATCTTTGCATTTAAAATAGGCAAAATAATTAGTTACCAGCCATACCTTTCAATGAAATTACATGTGAATTATTTAAATATGTTTACATTTTACAAATTGTATTTTTATCCTACAGAAGAAAAACTTAAGTAACATTTTTAAATGTAAATAACTGTGATTTTGTTATCTGTTTAAAAATATAATAGCAAGAGCACAGTCATAGAATAACACATTTCAGTCTTCAAATTTTACCACATATCAAAGTAAATTTGTTATTTTGATATTTATCAGTTCTGCTCCAAACGTTAGGTAACAATTGGTTTTAAAATGAAATGTATTCATTTGACAAATACATACTAGATTTTTAAAAATATAAATAACAAAATACATGGTTGGATTGTTAACTAGGCTAACATTGAAGTGGGTGTTCCTTAATAGTTTTCTTAGAAAATATGTGTCTAGGGACTCCATGTTGGGGTCCCCTTCCATGAACACTCTCATGGAAGCCATCTTTCTCTTTCCCGTATTTCCCCTCTGGGGTCCCCTTCCGCAGTCTCTCATGGAAGCTTGCCTTCCCCTCCTAAATTCCATCTCTCTCTATTCCCTTCCACTCAGTGTGGAAACTGCTTTCCTCTCCTGGATTCCATCTTCCTGGATTCTCTTACTCAGCGTGAGACTTAGCTGTTCTCTCTCTCTCTCCAACAATTATTGAATCATTTTGACCTCATTAAAAAAAAAAGAAAAAGAAAATATGTGTTAAGGAATTATAACCTGGTGACAATTGGGATGTCACATCCTTTAGAAAATAATGGCATTCTATTTTCTTTCCTTCTTTCTTTTTCTTTTTTTCTTTTTTCTTTTTTTTTTTTTTTTTTTTTTTTTTTCTTTTTTGAGATGGAGTCTCACTGCTCTGTCACCAGGCTGGAGTGCAGTAGTGCAATCTCTGCTCACTGCAACCTCTGCTTCCTGGTTCAACTGATTCTTCCGCCTCAGCCTCCCAAGTAGCTGGGACTACAAGTGCACCATCACGCCCGGCTAGTTTTTTGTATTTTTTAGTAGAGACGGAGTTTCACCATGTTGATTGGGATGGTCTCAATCTCTTGACCTCATGATCCACCCACCTTGGCCTCCCAAAGTGCTGGGATTACAGGAGTGAGCCAATGCGCCAGGCCTCTGTTTTCCATCTACATGGCAGTGCAAAGTTCATTATTATTTGTTTAAAAGGCTCTCTTTAGCCTTACTAAGACAAATGAAGTGCTATAAAAGCACTTAAAGCAATATATATCATGATGGTTAACACAAAATAGCATTGAGTACTTGACAGTAAAATTTCCCATTTAAATCACAGTTCTCACAAGTGTCCAATAATAAGCCTTCAGTTTCTCACTGAGATTTAAAAAGAAAAATTAGAAAATTACATTTCATTTATGAAAAATATATTGCTGATATATCACTATAGGAGATAAGCACTATGAAACTGTTTTGGCCATACTAAAAATTAATATACACAAATCTACTCTTTATCATTTTTAAAAGATAAATTACTAATCTTTGAAATGAAATTTTTCCTATCAAGATACTGAAATCTGTTGGACTTAAAATGCATTTAAATGGCTCAGGAGAGCTGTTTGACAAAACCACATGTGATGACAGAAACATAAATAATGATACATGTACAATATATTTTTGCCATTAGATTGCACAGTTTTTTTTTTTCAGTTTATACAGTAATAAAACTTCAGTAGTCATTGAGATGTGTATATTGATAGGAAACAGTGAAAGGAAATCACCCATGTTCAGTGTTTTCTGGTTTAAAAGGTATTGTTTTTTAATTGGCAAATCATAATGATATACATTTATGGGACACAATGGAGTAGTTTGATATCTGTATATAATGGGGAATGATAGAATCATCAGTGAACTCCTCTACCATCTCACGACTTATCATGCCAAAGGAATGAAATTGTGAAAATACAAAATACCCAACAGAGCTGTTAAAGCCCATGACTCTCCAGAATACAACAGGAAAATAGCAACTTGAGATAATTCCTAGCATCCTGTATGAACATTTATTTACATCAATGTTATTTAGCATCCATTAATGCTCCTGGTATACAAATAACAGTTCTAAGGAACCAAATTAGATTTGAGTGAAAGACTAATAATAGTGAAAGTATCCAAATACTTACTTGAATAAACTTGGTAACAAGATAGTATCTTATGACTTATTATGAAAATTCCACGAGGGCAAGGATGAGTCTATTTTGGGCTCCACTGTATGTTCAAATTCGATATTAAACCCAATGCCTGGCACAGAGTAGGTCTCAAAAAATATTTGTTGCATGTATGAATGAATATTTTCAACTTTGTAGGCAAAGGTAAGGTGCCTGAAGCAGCAAAGATGTCCTGAAAATAAATTAAACCGGCTTTCAAAAGTTCAAAATTAAACAATACTTACCAGAATGTTTCACAATATAGATAAAAAAATGGAACATGCTGTTCCAAAAAGCAAAAATTCTGTTAATAAAATTTGTAAACACTTAGTACTGTGGGGGGTCACTTGATGTGAAAATGATTTCACCAGAGTCACTAAGATTATGCCAATATTTACTAGGGATATATCAAAGTCCATTTCTTTATCACTAAATGGTACATTTAAAAACAGAGCATATCATTTACAATTCATTTGAGACAGGTTTCAACTATATGAATTGTAGTGAGCTCAACTGGTGCAAGAAAAAAAAGCACACTTATTAGCAGTGTTCCATGGAATGGGGAATCAATTCGTAATAATCACATTGCAAATTAACTTTAGTATTTATTTGCTGTATTTGCAAATTGAGACAATGATTACCATACATTGGCTTAGTCTTGTAAGCTAGATCTCTTCTCCTTAGATAAATTTTAAAAATTATTTTATCAGAAGTATGTTTTGGGTAGTTCACCTGAAAGATCAAGGTGCAACAGCTTCCTCTACATGTTATTTTTATATTTTAATTGAGCTTTCTCAATATCCAACTTGAGATTCCTCCCTTGCTTCCTGTCACACCCAAGGATGATTGTTCCAGCAAAAATAGTTTCAAAACCACTTTAAGCTTTATACAGTCCATCTAGTTTCCCACTTCTCTCTCATCAGTTTGCATTCTAACTAAAGTAGTGTAGAATGCTCGTGAATTCTAAAGTGCTGTGTGCAAACTCGAATAGTTAATTCAATTCAAACTATTTAATGGGACAATCTGCAGGGCCCATTTATACTACCTTCACATGCACATTCACATTCTCATACTATATGAAAAAAAACTTTACATTTTTCTGGTGAAATGAAAAATCAGAACCTGGAAGGTTAGAAGCAAAATATTTCTCAAAATGTTCATCAGAGGTACCTCATTTGAATACAGATTTCACTTTGCATGTTATTGAATAATGGTCACGATAGAAGTACCAACAAAAATAACCTCTTCCATTTTATGGGGGGGGGGAGGGTAAACAAAGCTCCTATTTATTAAAAGGAAAAGGAGTTCTTATTAGAGCTATTTTGTGTGTGTCTTAAAATACAGTAAGCCTTGAAAAAAAAATTCCTTATAATCTCTATTTTTTTTTTTTTTTTTTTTTGAGACGGAGTTTCACTCTTGTTACCCAGGCTGGAGTGCAATGGCGCGATCTTGGCTCACCGCAACCTCCGCCTCCGGGGTTCAGGCAATTCTCCTGCCTCAGCCTCCTGAGTAGCTGGGATTACAAGCACGTGCTACCATGCCCAGCTAACTTTTTGTATTTTTAGTAGAGACGGGGCTTCACCGTGTTGACCAGGATGGTCTCGATCTCTTGACCTTGTGATCCACCCACCTCGGCCTCCCAAAGTGCTGGGATTACAGGCTTGAGCCACCGCGTCCGGCCTATAATCTCTATTTTTAAAAGACTAGTTTATAATCCTCAGCAAGTGATCTTATACATCATGAGGATACATTGTACTAAATTCAAGGATCTTTACAATATATGGTTATTTAAATCTATTTCGATATTTACAATGACAAAACAAACTCACCTTTTTAAAATGCTGCTTTCATTTCAGTCATAAAATAGCCACAGTTGGAATAAAGGTATCTTACACTGAACTAAAATCTACTGCTATATAACTCCCAGCCATTTTTTCTAGCTCACTTTAATAAACCAAATCTACTTTAGAAACAAACTAAGACAACTCTTGACATCCTAAGTACAGCTTATCACCACATGACAACAGTTTAGCCTCAATTTTTTTTCTCCCTATTCTAGTCTTCAACTCCATAGAATACCATTAATGATTAATGGAAGTTTTCTGCCTTGTTTAACCTTTTGAAGGTGTCACAATAGCCAACCTTGTAAACTAATCAATAAGTTTCAGAAAATGTACAAGATTTGAAGGTTCCCAGACATAACAGAAGTTTGCTGCAAGTGGCTTTTTTGGTTCCACTGACAATTAGCTTTATCAACCCTACTGCCTTGTCCTAGTTGCCAGAATAACATCAGATTCAGGCATGTGGGTTCTTTTCCACATTCTCTGTGGTTTTGAGGGTGTTTTGAGTAGGTCTCTTGTTAAAAAGTGCTGCTGAAGAATGTCTTTTTCTCACAATTATCAAATTTGACTTTTCTCACCTCAAAAATATTTTGGAGGGTGTCCATCTAAAAAAATACATGCTGTGACTGCTTCCTCTATAGGCAAACTGACATTAAACAGGTGACATTAATCTGATGACTCCTAAAGAGAATCTTCAGTGAAAAAAATACAACCCTTTCAAGTCTGTATCCAATCACCATCACTTCCACTGCAAGCCATCAAATAGAAATTTTCACCCAGGCATATGTTTACACAGTCTTTCATAGAACTGTAACTATTAGAGGAGAGGACTCTCTAGGATTAATGCCTGACAGCAGTTACCATCATATCACCTGAGATGACTTTCCCAACATTTAAAGTGAGAAGGATAAACCTCTAAAAGTTAAAGCCACTTAAAAACAGAGAGTAGGGCATTTATATACTTCCTACATTTTTTCTGAAGATATAACATCACAGGAGGGAAATTTCCTGGGCTTATTTGCATAAATGATGAGTCAGATTAGGAGGACACTGACTGACTTTGATGTGTCTGCCCTATTACATATGTGATGGGCACGTTGAACAAGAGGGTCTCATGATTAGTAAAGAACTCTTCTCTCTCTGCAGGAACTAGCTCTCCCTGTAGTGTGAATGAACTCAAGAGCATGTCCTGTGATTTTTCTGTTCCCTCTCAAATACCAATCTCATTTCATCATGAGAATGTCTAGTTGTATTTAATAATCAAAATGTTTTAATGCATTGAAAGTTGAAGCTACTCCCCAGTTCAGGCCTGTTTCAGTCCTGTTGCCTATGGTGGGAAAGGGGAGCACAGATACCTGCCTCTCTTCTTCTTTGCCTCTTCTCCTTCCTCCGTACCCTCTATGCTGCTTCTAGCTCCTCCAGGGATAACACAGGGAAAGGAGAAGCTAGTAAAAGAGATAGCAGCAGAAAAAATTCAATTCAATGGACAAAAAAAAATTCAGTGGGCAGCATGGTGAGCCAAGGTTGTCTCCTCTGGTTATGAAGACATGCAAAGCTGCCGTTTTCTCTTATTGGGTCCTTTGATAATCTCTTTCCCTCATTGTTCCTGGATATGTCTCATATGCAGCTGGCACCTTAAGACTCTCCTTTGGGCCCTTGATTTTCAAATTGTCTGCCTCCACATAGACACCCAACTATTGACAGTCCACTGCCCTGTAGATAGCACTTTTTTGGTGGTGGAGCTGGGACTGGGGAAAATATATTTAAGACAACTCTTGGCCAGTTCACACTCCTGCTTGAGTTACGTCAGGTCTGCAAGCCACACCATTGCTTCCCACCCAGTCCTCTGCTTTGCTCTCTTTGTTCTCAACTAGCAAGCCCATCACCCTCTAGATTTCTCCAGCCTGAATCAGACACCTGTCTATTACACCCCAAACTCCAAGAGTCCCCTTTTGAGCACTGAGTGGTTTCTTGAAGCCCTTGTCACTACATGAAAGTGAAAGGGAACACTCCCCACCATCCCCCAGACTCACCACACTAACTTTGTCTGAAATAGTCTTTGCCTGATTTCCACCTTGTCCCCAGTTGAATTCCTAGCCTCCCCTTAGACCGCAGGAGGTGAGTAACAGAGCACAAGTGGCAGCACTAACTCTTCTGCATCTCCTTTAAAGTCCTGCATTAGTGGTGCTGCCCCTCACCTTGGAATTGAGACACTCTCTACTTGTTTGTTGTTCTTTTTCCTTTTCAGGCCTTAGGTGAAACTGAGACAATAAAAGAAGGAAGGGAGGAAGAGGGTGGGAAGCAGGGAGAAAAGGAGAAAATTTCTCATTTTGGCATCGTTACAAAGATAGGACCTAAGAGTTGCCACATCAGTACCTTCTGACTCCCTAGTTGACATATATCATTTGACTCGCCTACTTTCAGTATTAGTTTACTTTCTCCTTTTGTTCTGCTGGTGACTAAAATATAACAGAATGCCATAAAATTGTGGCCTATTGTGAGAGAAGAGCTAGAAAGCCACTCAAAATATGAAATTTTATATAAACATTGAGAAAATGCTACTTTCACCATAGACCACATGAAAGATCACTTTATACATGCACATGTAACATAATATTGATCAAAGGGGGAAACATACATTTTTTTTTTCTATTTTCTGCCTCCTTAGGCCGAGATTATGAAAAGGATAAAGTCTGCAAGGAATTCTCCGATCTGGGAAAGGAGGACTTCACGTCTTTGTAAGTGTGCCGTAGCCACTCACTCTCTTGGTGATTTGATCTTGAACAAAAATGAGTGTTAGGAACTGACTCAGCATGGAGGCGAATCCTTAATCCTTGCCAAAATTAAGAGAGCAGAGCCCCGGGGCCAATGTAGGCACAGGAGTCAAGCAAATGAAGGACATCCAGAGACTCCAGCTGACCCTTGGTTACTACAGTCTAAGGATTTGTCACCAGTAAGTTTATGAATGAGTTAAAAGAGAATACATACAGCATAGCTTTCTAAGGTCAATCAAAATGCAACAATACATTCTAGGAATCCAGCAAACCAAGGCAATGAGGTACAGAGCAAGTACATTTGGGAAAGCTCAAGAAGGACCACACCAGACTGGTTTGACAGAAGCCCTAAGGTTCAACGTCTACTGCTTTCCAAGATAAATTTGCCTAGAACAAAAATTGCTTTTTAAATTCTCATTTTTTTCATTAGCCAAATAAAGTAAATGTGTACAATATTTCATTGAAACATTGAACATGTTTTAATGTGCACATTCATACTTTAACGTGCCAAAATGTGAAAAGGAAGTTTCAGTTCTGGCTGGGCATGGTGGCCTGTAATCCCAGAACTTTGAGAGGCTAAGGAGGGCAAATCACAGGTCAGGTGTTCAAGACCAGCCTGGCCAAATGGCGAAACTTCATCTGTACCAAAAATGCAAAAACTAGCCAGGCATGGTGACAGGCTCCTGTAGTCCCAGCTACTCAGGATGCTGAGGCAGGAGAATCACTTGAACCCAGGAAGGCAGAGGTTACAGTGAGCCAAGATTGCGCCCCTGCACTCCAGCCTAGCCAACAGAGCAAGGACTCCATCTCAAAAAAAAAAAAAAAAAAAAATTCCATTCTAATTGATACATTGTCTTATTTTCCCCTCAGGTCACTAGTTCTGTACAGTAGAAAATTTCCCAGTGGCACCTTTGAACAGATCACCAAGCTTGTGGAGGAAGTTGTCTCCTTGACTGAAACCTGCTGTGCCGAAGGGGCTGACCCTGACTGCTATGACACCAGGGTAGGTTTCTGTGGCTAGCCGTCTCTATGGCAGCCCAGAGAAGGAAACCAAAATAGCCCTTTATGCCATGTGTTGAGAAAATTTTAGACAGCAACTCCACTTATTCTAGTTTGGGGGAAATATGAAGCCTAATATCTTTAGAGCCCAATTTATTCTAACATAATGAATCAATATTACCCATTATTCCTACAAGATTCAAATGAGAAAACTGGGTCGTAGAGTAATTTAGTGATTTTATTAACTATACATTGCTAGCAAGAAGCAGTTAGAGGATATAAATCCAGATATAACTCTAAAATGTAAGTTTTTATCACCATATTGATTTCCTCAAATATCAGCTCATGGACATTATTCTAAGGAAAGTAACTCAGGAATGAAAACCCAAATACCATACGTTCTCATTTATAACTGAGAGCTAAGCTATGAGGAGGCAAAGGCATAAGAATGATACAATGGACTTTGGGGCCTTAGAGGGAAGGTGAAGGGGGCAAAGAATAAAAACTACACATTGGGTACAGTGTGCACTGCTCAGTTGATGGGTGCACAAAATCTCAGAAATCGCATCTAAAGAACTTAGCCGTGTTACCAAAAACAAAATAGTTTTGTTGAAATTAAATATACACATGAAATTAAATATATATATGTGTGTGTGTGTGTGTGCATATATATGTAAATAAATAATCAGCTCATGAACCTCTTGAAATACTCCTAAGATATCCTGTATGGCTTAAAACCTAACCATAGCTTTATCCTCTTTTATCATCATGCCAGGACTGGTGCCAACTGCTCCAGAATAATTTCATGTTGGGTTCAAATTGAGGAGGAGGATTCAAAAGTTGCCCTGTATGCACATAGCTAAATTCTAGGTCTTCTCCCCTATAGCACTTATGGAGAAATTAAAATGCTGAAGTTATAGTGTTCTAACCGTATCTGAAAAGGGTGAAATCTAACGAGTTTCAGCAATTTATTAATGCAGGCCTGATGCAAATGACATTTAGATGCATTTTGATAAAGGCCTTTACAGACAGATTCATTTTCACTGTTCAAGCCTTCAGCAGGTATCCTATAGAAACAATGCTCCAAAGATCTGATTAGAATAGATTCTACACAATGAATATTCTTACCCATTAATTGTTTAATCTGTTCTAGCTTTTCAGAATTTTTTTTCTTTTCTTTTTTTCTTTCTTTTCTTTTTTTTTTTTTTGAGATGGAGTTTTGCTCTTGTTACCCAGGCTGGAGTGCAATGGCACTATCTCGGCTCACCGCAACCTCCGCCTCCTGGGTTCAGGCAATTCTCCTGCCTCGGCCTCCTAATCCCTGCCTAGCTGGGATTACAGGCACGCACCACCATGCCCAGCTAATTTTTTGTATTTTTAGTAGAGACAGGGTTTCACCATGTTGACCAGGATGGTCTCGATCTCTTGACCTCGTGATCTACCTGCCTCGGCCTCCCAAAGTGCTGGGATTACAGGCTTGAGCCACTGCGCCCAGCCGCTTTTCAGAATTTTATAATCCTTTTCTTCCACTGGCAAGGTCATATATATTTTTCATTTCAACCTGAACTTCTGTACCACCTGAAACTATAAAAGCATCAAGCTTTAACCACAGTCAACATAACAAGCACATTTTTATTTTATTTCACATATTTGCTAATACATCCCTTGACCAGAGAAATAACCTGTCTCTATAATCCTGGAGCATAAGAGAACAGATATGGCATTGATATTTTTTTCATATTTCTCTTTCTCCTGATTGTTCAAAACATTTTGAAAAGTGTTTTGATATTTTGTCCACCTTTTTTTTTTATTTGAAAGAAGGTAACTTTAAAAAGGCAGGAAAAAAAAATGTTGCCAGAGAAATTAATGGAAAGGAAAAAGATGGACTGAAAAGAGAGATAAGTGAAAAAAAGAGAAAGAATCTAATTTTTAACTTCTCCAAATCTGATGAATGGATGACATGGGAGAGGGTGAGAAGTTAGTTTACATAACTGATTTATCTCATTGCCATCCTTCACTGATAGAAAAGATTTTCAGAAACTTTACCTTAAAAAGATGACTAACTTATAAATTAAGAATGTCAAAGTACTTTTTCCCATATAAATCCCAAGGTAATTTTTTCCATGATGACAATTTCTAATCTTTTTTCCTCTATGCTATTTCTATTCTAGATTTTAATTTCAAATATCAAATTGTTTCTAAAAGAACATTTTGATGCTACGATTGCCTTGATGGTGCTTAGTCTGCTTGCAGGTATCAGTGTATCATTGTTGAAGCCGTAAATGACGGTGCATCCGTGGTTTTCAACCTACACTGCACTTGCACATAAATCTTGGAGCTTTGAGATCTTTCACCCACTGAAACATAATTCCTGCGTTGTGCAACCAAAGCATTTTTTATTTTATGTGTAAGTAATTCCGACGCAAAAGCAGGCTCAAGAATCATTAGGTAAGAGAATGTAAATAATGTAGAATGAGACATCAGTCACCACCTGCCGAGTCTGACCTGCAGACCCTGACTCAACCACGGATGGACGAATGAATGCACTCTCACACCATTACAGCATTTCAAGTGGGCTGGGGATGGCTGTTGACTGCTTTCAGAGGGCGAAATGGAACCAATCGACCCAGACTCCCTGTACATCAACACCTTTATTCCCTCAAGATTTTACAGCAGAGGTTCTAAGTTAACACACTTGTGGATAATTAACATGGTTAAAAGAGTAGTTATATGAATGATAAAAGCTTTAGGTTCTGGGGCCCAGAGTAAACACTATTAACAGGCAATTCCCCTTTAATCACCCCCGGAGTGGGCCATCCAGCACAAAGTTTACTTGAGTAAACAGAGTAGAGACAAAGGGATGTGGGGTAAACAGACTTAAACTGGAAAAAGAATCTTATTGCCCTATCTTCCCCCTAACTTAATGGACCTGTCACCTTCGGCCTGCCCCAGTATCTTTCAGCCTTCCAAAAGGTTTCAGACTAATCTATTACTTCTCCCAACATATCTTTAATATTTTGCCAGCGACCCAAACAGAAGATTAAAAGAGCCAGCAATCAAGAGTCTGCTCATTTCATAAAGAGAGGGGAGGAGCACTCATTTCATAAACAGAGGGAGGTCCTCCTCACTCTTACTGGGGCATTTGCAGCAGAAAGCAGGTGGGAGGTGATGACAGAATCACCAGTGGAAGTTTTTCAAATGACCCTTTCATCCTCAGAGATGTTAATGTCCCCATGGAGGAACACTGGGCTAGAGAATGCAATGCTAATGGCTCTCATCAGATAAACACTGTCCATTTATTATTCAAAGTTGTATTTTTGTTCTACTCTGAGGAGTAATTTATTAACATAAATAAGATTCTATACTTGCCGACAATCATACAACTTGTCATGTTGAAAAATCACCTCATGGCGCCCTTGGCATGAATACACAGTTACGAATGCGGATTTTCTAATTATAGGCTAAGATACTATATTGAATGAAGATCTAAGAGCCTGGAAATTTACATATATAGATGAGTTTCCTTTTTTCCTCTCTTCCAGACCTCAGCACTGTCTGCCAAGTCCTGTGAAAGTAACTCTCCATTCCCGGTTCACCCAGGCACTGCCGAGTGCTGCACCAAAGAAGGACTGGAACGGAAGCTCTGCATGGCGGCTCTGAAGCACCCGCCACAAGAATTCCCTACCTATGTGGAACCCACAAATGATGAAATCTGTGAGGCGTTCAGGAAAGATCCAAAGGAATTTGCTAATCAGTGAGCGTTTTCATCATAAACAGAACTTAGGGTCTAAGATGTCAGAAATGACTCTAATCTAACCTCCTACTCCGTGCAAACACTTCCTCTACAGCAACCTGAACAAATTCTGAGAACTCGACTCATCCAAAACTCAGCTTCCGTTTGGTGCTGAGTTTTGTGTATGTCTTTCTCAGAGATGAAATCAATTTTCCCAAACTCTTAGCAACCCTAATCCTATTATCTGAATCAGAATCACTTGAGTCCCCTGTCCACATGATATATTTTCAAATATTTGACAGCCCCTGTGGTGATTTCTCTGATGCTAAAGATCATTGCATATGTCATATGATAGAAGCATTTTATTGTGTACACATATTAAGTACTTAATTTCTAGTAAACCATAAAAAATGAACAGCTTTTCTCTTCACTCCTATACATCCCAGAAACATGACATGTATATGTGAATATGAGCATCTACTACATCAAGTAAACATGGAACCTTGATATTTTCATTGCTTAACTTGCATAAGGGGCCGGATTACACACTGATTCTTTATGTTAGTCTGGAAGGTCACAAAAATGAATAAAAATGGGTGGAAATACATTTATTAAAGTAAGAAATATATGTGTATATTCAAAAATCAAAAACGATGTCATTTGAAGTGGTAAAAAATTGTAAAAATTAGTAAGATTGCTCAATCAATTTTCAAGGAGGATTTTGCTGAGAATTTCAGTCCCTTTTAGATTCACAAGGACATCTATTCCCAAAAATCGAAATTATTTCCAGAAAATAAGTAATGTATACATAACAATTATCTAAAGTAAACTGAGATACATAAGGAAAAGCAAATCTAGTAATTACATTTATTTCAATTAATTCAATCAGCAGCTTAATTAACAAACAGCTACCATGGGTGATGCACCTATCTAGATATGAAGTGAACAAAGGAACTAATGGCCCCTCCTCTCAAGCAAAAAACACAGAAATTTAGAAATCTATTTTTAATGAATATATTAATAGTGATCAGTATTATGATCTTTTCTCTAAATTCTTAGTGTTTTTAGATATTAAACTATAAATGTAACATATATCCTTTCTCCATCAACATACTTACTAAAAAGTAGGTTTTGGGGGGATGAGCATGGTGGCTCACACCTGTAATCCCAGCACTTTGGGAGGCTTACATGGGAGGATCACTTGAAACCAGGAGTTCAACACCAACTTGTGTCAATTAGCAAGACCTAATTTCTATAAGAAATTAAAAAATTAGATGAACATGGTGGCATATACCTGTAATTCCAGCTACTCAGGAAGCTGAAGCAGAAGGATCACTTGAGCCCAGGAGGTTGAGACTTCCACAAGCTATGATTGTGCCAATGTACTCCAGCCTGGGTGACAGGACAAGATACTGGCTCAAAAAAGAAGAGTAGGTTTTGTTTATTCACAAATTTTTTGACTAATTCTATTTTTTCCTCCACAGCTTTATGTGGGAATATTCCACTAATTATGGACAAGCTCCTCTGTCACTTTTAGTCAGTTACACCAAGAGTTATCTCTCCATGGTAGGGTCCTGCTGTATCTCTGCAAACCCAACTGCATGCTTTTTGAATGAGGTATGTCCCATTTTACTTATTACATGTTTGTTTGTTTGTTTTCTAATAGCATTCCTGTTAGACAATGGCAGAAATTGAGATTTTGCAATCGGTAAAAGTTTCTAAAATGCCTCCCTTGCATCTTGTTAGCTGGAAAATAAATGTAATACTTCTGGAAAAGAAGTATCAATAAATTCCTTTCATCAGTGTTCAGTTTCCTCTTCATAGAAAAAAAATTATGAAATCATCCCTATTTTTGCCATTTATATGGTTTCCAAGGAACCTTGACCATCTAATGGGATTCTTTCACTTATTTTCTAGAGACTCCAGATTAAACATTTATCACTTCTCACCACTATGTCAAATAGAGTCTGTTCACAATATGCTGCTTATGGGGAGAAGAAATCAAGGCTCAGGTAAACATTAAGCACCATCCTTATATTTAGAAGTTTGGTTCTGCATTGTCTATCCATAATATTATGATTCTTTAAGAAGATGTCTGCATTGGAAGATTTAAAATAGAGTTTTATGCTTCAATAATCTTTAAAAATATGGCCAAATTGTTTTCTTCTCTCTCTATAGACTATGAAGAATAAGGAACAAGGTTATGTCATAAACCATGAGATTTGCTTTTAATCAATCTTTTCCATATAGTTGACCAGTAGAAAATATTTTTCCAGTGTTCATATTAGCATATGTTACAAACAAAAAAGCAAAAAACAAAACAAAAAACTTTTTTTGTTTATTACCTATTATTTGCCTTGCCCAATTTTTCTTGGGATAAGACATCTGAATTCTTACTTATTGTATGAAGACTTGTGCTATACAGTATATATCTCTTGCCCTTCGTTAATTTATTCTCACTAGTTATCTGCCTTTGTATTAATCTGTTTTTACGCTGTTGATAAAGATATAACCGAGACTGGGCAATTTACACAAGAAAGAGGTTTCATTGGACTAACAGTTCTACGTGGATGGGGAGGCCTCACAATCATGGTGGAAGGCAAAGAGGAGCAATCACATCTTACATAGATGGGTAGGCAAAGAGAGAGCTTGTGTAGAGAAACTTCTGTTTTTAAAACCATCAGATCTCATGAGACTAATTCACTTTCACAAGAACAGCACCGGAAAGACCCACCCCCATAATTCAATCACCTCTCACTGGGTTCCTCCAACATGTGGAAATTGTGGGAGTTATAATTCAAGATGAGATTTGTGTGGGGACACAATCAAACCATATCATTCTACCTCTGGCCCCTCTGAAATCTCATGTCCTCACATTTCAAAGTCAATTATACCTTCCCAACAATCCCCCAAAGTCTTAACTCACTTCAGCATTAACTCAAAAGTCCACAGTTCACTGTCTCATTTAATACAAGGCAAGTCCCTCTGCCTTTGATCCTTTAAAATCAAAAGCAAGCTAGTTACTTCCTAGATACAATGGGGGTAAAGGCATTGGGTAAATGCTGCCATTACAAATGAGAGAAATTGGCCAAAACAAAGGGGCTACAGGCCCCATGCAACTTTAAAATCCAGTGGGGCAGTCAAATCTTAAAGCTCCAAAATGATCTCCCTTGACTTTATGTCTCATATCCACGTCACACTGATACAAGAGGTGGATTCTCATGGTCTTGGGCAGCTCCACCCCTGTTGCTTTGCAAGGTACTGTTTCACAGGCTGGCATTGAGCATCTGTGGCTTTTCCAGGAGCATAGCGCAAGCTGTCAGTAGATCTAGCATTCTGGGATCTGGAGAATGGTGGCCCTCTTCTCACAGCTCCACTAGCCAGTGGCCCAGTAGGCATTCTATTTTGGGAATCCAACCCCACATTTCCCTGTAGCAGTGCCCTACCAGAGGTTCTCAATGAGATCCCTGCCACTGCAGCAAACTTCTGCCTGGACATACAAATGTTTCCATACATCCTCTGAAATCTAAGCAGAAGTTCCTAAACCCCAATTCTTGACTTCTGTGCACCCACAGGCTCAACACCATGTGGAAGTTGCCAAGGCTTGAGGCCTGCACCTTCTGAAGCCATGGTCTGAGCTCTACATTGTCCACTTTTAGCCATGGCTGGAGCAGCTGCAATGCAGGGCACCAAATCCCTAGGCTGCACACAGCACAAGGACCCTGGGCCTAGTCTATGAAACAACTTTTTCCTCCTCGTCCTCCAGGCCTGTGATGAGATGGGCTGCTGTGAAGACCTCTGACATGCCTTGGATACATTTTCCCCCACTGCCTTGGGGATTAACATTCAGCTCATTTTTGCTAATGCAAATTTCTGCAGCCAGCTTGAATTTTTCCTCAGAAGATGGGCTTTTCTTTTCTATTGTATTGTCTGGCTGTGAATCTTCTAAACTTCTATGCTCTGCTTCCCTATGAAACTGAATGCCTTAACAGCACCCAAGTCATCTCTTAATTGCTTTACTGCTTAGAAATTTATCCTGCCAGAATGCTTTGCTGCTTAGAAATTTATCCTGCCAGATACTCTAAATCATTTTCCTCAAGTTCAAAGTTCCACAAATCTCTAGGCCAGGGGCAAAATGTCACCAGTCTCTTTGCTAATATGTAACAAGAGCCACCTTTGCTCCAGTTCCCAACAAGTTCCTCATTTCCAACTGAGACCACCTCAGCCTGGACCTTATTGTCCAAATGCTATCAGCATTTTAGGCAAAACCATTCAACAAGTCTCTAGAAAGTTTCAAAATTTCCCACATTTTCCTGTCTTCTAAGCCTCAAACTGTTCCAACCTCTGTCTGTTACCCATTTCCAAAGTTGCTTCCACATTTTGGGGTATCTTTTTAGTAGCCCCCACTCCTGGTACCAATTTACTGTATTACTCTGTTTTCATTCTGCTGATACAGACATTCCTGAGACTGGGCAATTTATCAAAGAAAGAGGATGAATTAGCCTTAGAGTTCCACATGGCTGGAGAGGCCTCACAATCATGGTGGAAGGCAAGGAGGAGCAAACCACATCTTACATGGATGGCAGCAGGCAAAGAGAGAGCTTATGCAGAGAAACTCCTGCCTTTTTTTTTTTTTTTTTTTTTTTTGGAGACGGAGTTTCGCCCTTGTTACCCAGGCTGGAGTGCAATGGCACGATCTCGGCTCACCGCAACCTCCGCCTCCTGGGCTCAGGCAATTCTCCTGCCTCAGCCTCCTGAGTAGCTGGGATTACAGGCACGTGCCACCATGCCCAGCTAATTTTTTTGCACTTTTAGTAGAGACGGGGTTTCACCATGTTGACCAGGATGGTCTCGATCTCTCGACCTTGTGATCCACCCGCCTCGGCCTCCCAAAGTGCTGGGATTACAGGCTTGAGCCACCGCGCCCGGCCGAAACTCCTGCTTTTAAAACCATCAGATCTTGTGAGACTCATTCACTATCACAAGAACAGTTCAGGAAAGACCCACTCCCATACATCAATCACCTCCCACCGGGTTTCTCCCACAATATGTGGGAATTGTGTGAGCTAAAATTCAAGCTGAGATTTGTGTGAGGACATAGCCAAACCACATCAACCTTATATTTGCAAACTTCCCTTTGACTTTTGTATTACTACTGTTAACCTGTATTTTAATTTTCGTAGTTTCTAGGTTGCATGTCTCTTGTACCTTCTCAAACATCTAGATTTGCCAACTTTTCTTCCCTCAGTATTTACAGTCACTTTAATTCCTTCTAATATACCCCACAAGCTTTCTTCCTCTAATAGTAATGAAAGAACTTCTCACCAGCAATGAATAATAATAAGCTTCTGTAATAAAAATAGAAACTACTTAAGTTCTTTAAATATAACATTCCCTCAGAACTACTTGAGTACTCAATGGCAGTTTCTCTAGTTCTTTTCATAGCTTTCTTTTTACATAGAGATAGTGTATTTGGTGGGTAAAGCAGAAGGATTTATAATATAAAGCCACCATATATATTACTGTCTAGAAATGTACTTCAAGGAAATGGCATTTGCTATGAACAAATATTTAGCCATAAAATGTTGCTACCACTTTTTAAATTTAAAAAATTAGAGTTTTTTCTAAGTGTTCCAAGTTAATTATGACATATACATATTATTTAAGGCTACATAATATTCCACTCTGTGTGTGTGTGTGTGTGTGTGTGTGTGTGTATGTGTATGTGTATGTGTATACACCATGTTTTCTTTATTCATCTGCTGATGGACAAATGGATTGCTTCTGCCTCTTGGTTATTACATTATATTGTTAAAATTATATAATAAAGGAATATTTAATGAAAACTATAAAACATTGCCAAAAGAAATTTTAAAAGATCCAAATAAATGGAAATACAGGACATGCTTGTGGTTTGGAAGACCTAACGCTGTTTAAATGAGAGCAATTTAGAGACTTGATGCAATCTCTATCAAAATCCTACTGGTGTTTGTTTCAGAAATAGAAAACAACATATTCTAAAATACTCAAGAGATCCCTAGTAGCCAAAATAATCTTGAAAAAGAGTAAAATTGGAGGTCTAACATTTTTTATTTTAAAACATACTACAAAGCAACTGTAATTAAGATAATGTGATGCTAGCATGAAGATAGATATATAGACCAATGGAACAGAATAGAGAGTCCAGAAATAAACTTTTGGATATATGGCCAAATGATTTTCAACAAGGGTGCCAAGATTAAACCATGAGATTAAAAGATAGTCTCCTCAACAAATGATCTTGGGAAACCACATATCTACATGCAAAAGAATGAGGTTGGAACTTTATATAATATACACAAATTAATTCAAACATAAATCGAAGATCAAATGTTAACATCTAAAACTATAAAACTCCTAGACGAAAACATAGGAGAAAAGCTGTCAGGATATTTGATTTGGCAATGATTTCTTGCATATGACACCAAAGTACAGGCAAGAAAAGCATAAATAAACAAATAAAACTACAACGAACTTTAAAACTTCTGGCCAGCTGTTGTGGCTCATGCCTGTAATCCTAGATCTTAGGGAGGAAGAGGAGGAAGGATATCTTGAGCCCAGGAGTTTGAGACCTGACTGGGCAATATAGCAAGACCCCATTCTCCGCAAAAAGGAAAAAACAAACAAACAAAAACCTTCTACATATCAAATGACACAATTAACAGAGTAAAAAGGCAACCTACCACATGGGAAAAAATATTGCAAATCATATATCAGATAAGAGGTTAATATTCAGAATATATAAGGAACTTCTATAATTCAACAACAAAAACCAAGTAACTTAATTAAAATAGGGTTAAAAGACTTGAATAAACAATTATTGAAATAAACTACACTAATGGCCAGTAAACATGAAAAGATGCTCAAAGTCACTAACCTTAAGAGATAGGTAAATCAAGTCTACCGCCATACCACTCTGAACATGCCCAATCTCATCTGATCTCAGGAGCTAAGCAGAGTCAGTCCTGGTTAGTATAATACTTGGATGGGAGAAATGCAAACCAAAACCACAGTGAGGTATCCCATTAGGATAATCACTATCAAAAGAACAGAAACTAGCAAATGTTAGCAAAGATGCATAGAAATTGGAATGCTTGTATACTGCTGGTAGGAATGTAAAATGGTGCAATCATTATGGAAAACAGTATGGAAGTCCTTCAAAAGATTAAAAGTAGAAATAACATGCAATCTATCAGTTCTACTTTTAGGTATATATTTGAAAAATTCAAAGCAGGATCTCAAAGAGATTTGCACTTCCATGTTCATTGCAGAATTATTCACAATAACCAAGAGGTGGAAGCAACCCATATGTCCATCAACAGATGAATGGATAAAGACAATGTGGTATATACATACAATGGAATATTATGTAGCCTGAAAAAAGAAGAAAATCTTGTCACATGCTACAAGGATGAACCTTGAGGACTTTCATTATGCTAAGTGAAATAAGCCAGTCTCAAAAGGACAAATACTATATAATCCCACTCATATGAAATATTTAAAGTAATCAGAATCATAAAGACAAAAAATAGAAAGGTGGTTGCCAAGGGATGGGAGGGTGAGGGAGGAGAAGTGGGGAGCAAATCAGTGTTTAATGAGTATAGAGTTTTAGTTTTGTACAAGAAAAATTTCTAGATATCTGTTGCAAAGCAATTGAAATATACTTAAATACTAAACGTACACCTTAAACATGGTTAAGATAGTAAATTTAATGTCATTTTATCACAATTTTTTAAAATAATATTTAATCATATTCATGATATATTAGGAATATTAATATTTAAAAAAACCTAATGATACTCCTGGTATATTAAGTGAAGAAGGCAAATATGAGAATAGTATAGCATACCATTCACATATAAAATACTTTAAGTTTACACACCCAAAATGTGAACATTTATTAACTCCTAGGTAAAGCTAAAAGTTCTTTTAATACTTCTTTTATCTATAGTTTCTAATAAAATTTATAAAAAATACTTTTTACAATTTATGAGAGGCCACAAAAATACATCATTGGCCTTATGAATAGAGAGAGAGACATTTGTGATTGCTTCACTAATGCTTTATATCTAACATTTTAAAGGTGTGCTTTAACTATACAGAGCTTGGAAGAAGAGAAGCTGCATTTGAGTACTGAACATTTGAAAAGATTCATTAGGGATCTTTCAATCTTGAGTCTTTGGCTTTGGTACATAAGATCTATCACACAGCAGATGTGCTCCCATGTAGCTCTTGAGGCCAAAGAGTTGAAACTGTGGTATTATTTCTCCCAATAGTGTGTTCATCTTGAAACCAAGAAAACTGAGAATGTTGATAAGCTGACAAATTTATTTTTAACTGTTTAGCAATCTCATAAAGTTAAGCCAAAAAGTGCCTACTGCTGATCTGGAGGATGTTTTGCCAGTAGCTGAAGATATTACTAATGTCCTCTCCAAATGCTGTGAGTCTATCTCTGATGATTGCATGGCCAAAGAGGTAAGACAGTCTTTCTTATCATTGCCATGTACCAGGTATTGAACACCAACTGCTGAGTGGCAGGCACTCTTCTAAGCCCGAGTTCATGTGCATTATCCTCATGGATGCTCACATGTATTCTATAAGACATAAATAATTCTTAGCACCAACTGTACAGATGAGGAAACAGAAGCTTAGCAAGGGTCACAAATTTGAGACCACACAACTAGTAAGTGGCAAAGTCCATATGCAAGAATGAAATTATCTGACTCCCAAGATCTTATGCTACTTGCACTGTGTGGTATTCATCACCACATGTGGTCATTTAAATTTAATTTTAAAGTTAAACATAGTGATAATTGAATATGATTTAAAATTCAGTTCTTCAGTTACACTAACCACATTTCAAATGCACAGTAGTATTGGACAGTGCAAATACAGATAATTTTTATTATTGCATAAAGTTCCATTAGGTAGCACTTCCACCATTATACTAGTAGAAACTACTACTGTTTTTATTATACTTTTTATAATTTGATGCCCATCTCAAATTTTTTTTACCATTTTTTGTTTTCATAATCCTTTAAAACTATGCAAATAATTGCTTTAGCTAAAGGGTCAGTCTCCAAGGTCTTGTCAATCTCTGTAGTAATAGATACATTGTGTTGTCTCATCCTTTTCCATTAAAAATGCATGTCTGTGTTAATAGATATTTTTCTATAAGGATTTATAATGGCAAAATAGGAGTCCATTGCATATATCTATGTCATGTATTGCATCGGTCTACCTAAACACAGCATATTTTTATTTTACTAATCCTCTGTTGTTGTATTTAGGTTGTGTTGGTTTTTTAATATTTTAAGCAATGATGCACTTAATAGCCTTATCGTGGTTGTCCTTTTATCCATAATTATTTTCTGACCATAAATTTTTAAAAAATAGAATTGTACATTTTTAAGACTTTTAGTACATATTGACAAATTGCCTTTCCAAATATTTTACCAATTTTCTGAGAGTATTCACACTGACTTTCATAAATATGATGCCAAAGCCTATGTAATTTTTATTTTAAATTAGACCATCAGAAAACTGACAATGCACAAACCATTTGTTTTGTAGCTGCCTTTACACACAGTAAAAATCTGTGAACATTTATCCACAAAGAATTCTAAGTTTGAAGACTGTTGTCAAGAAAAAACACCCATGGATGTTTTTGTGTGCGTTTACTTCATGCCAGCTGCCCAAGCCCCTGAGCTTCCAGATGTGGAGTTGCCGGCAAACAAAGATGTGTGTGATTCAGGAAACACCAAAGCTCTGGATAAGTAAGTAGTGGTCATGTGAAAATGTGTTCCCATTTTAAGTTCTCTGGATAAAAAGCGGGGACCAGCCAAATGTAGGGAAGGTTTGCTGTCATCCATTTCAAACATAGGTAAAGTACTATTTTTATGCTTTTCACGGACTTTAAGTATCTGTTAATCGATTAGAAATGACTAGAATTTTTAAAACATCACAATTCATTGAGTTTGACAGAAAGATTTTGGATAGTGAGAAAGAAGCTTAGAGTTCTAATTCTACCTTCTTTGATTCCTGTGCATGGCCAAAAGAAGTGACTTGACATTTTTGAACTTCGGCCTATCATTAATTAATTTGAAAATGTTAATACTTGCGTTACTTAGCACACAGATTGCTAATGAGAAATACATGTAAGAATGTAAGTGAAAGTAAATGTGAAAACATAGCTTTGTATACAATGCTGAACCCATGTAAAATACATCATACAACCAGAAATGTTTATCATATTATTTACTAGTTTTATCATAATACTTCTGGTTTAAAGTCATAAATCAAAAGCCTAAAGTATACTAAACTTTTGGACAAGAAGCATTTGATGCAAATAAAAGAGACGGCAAAAGCAGAATATCTTTTCTTAACAATTATCAATATTCATTTTCATTAAATTTAAAAAGAGATTAAACCAAAGAAATGGTAAGTTTTTATCTGTTTCATCCAACTAAAAAAAGAAATAAAATAAATATACCATGGGTTGAATAGATGTGTATGCATACTCATGGCATAAGAATATTTCAGTAATAGACCAGGCATGATGGCTCACACCTATAATCCCAGCACTTTGGGAGGCCGAGGCAGGTGGATCACGAGGTCAAGAGATCAAGCCCATCCTGGCCAACATGGTGAAACCCCATCTCTACTAAAAATACAAAAATTAGCTGGGCATGGTGGCACATGCCTGTAGTCTCAGCTACTTGGGAGGCTGAGACAGGAGAATTGCTTGAACCCAGGAGGCAGATGTTGTGGTGAGCCAAGATTATGCCATTGTACTCCAGCCTGGGTAATAAGAGCAAAACTCTGTCTCAAAAAAAAAAAAAAAAAAAAAAAATTCACATATAGTTTGAAGCAGCAATTAGCAATATCAGATGGCAGAAGTTAGATAGGACTGAAACTTTAATTTACATTTTAATAAATGTTTATTGTTTTTATAAGTGTATAGATGGCAGTGGGATAAGACAAAATGAAGGAATTTACACAAACCTATTTTCACAGAAAAGCCTTTTAAAGTACCCACATGATGCTTTATATGAGGTCAAATGTATTACGTTTGCACACAGTTCCACATGCATTTGAAATAGATATGTTTATATATAATATAAATGTATATTACAAAGCTTTAATTCAGTATTGACTAGTCACAATAGCAAGTATTAATAACTTGTATCTCAAAGAAAGTATTTTATAATCCAAAACATGTTAATTTAGAGTCAGTCTGAGCTAAATCTCTTCTTTTAATTAAGAGACAGAAACCATGGCTCTGCCTTTATAACAGATGTTTCACATTTCAAAATGTAGGCCAGGTGCAGTGGCTTATGCCTATAATCCCAGCACTTTGAGAGGCTGAGGCAAGCAGATCACTTGAGGTCAGAAGTTCCAGACCACCCTGGCCAACATGATAAAACCCCAACTCTACTAAAAATACGAAAATTAGCTGGGCGGGTGCCTGTAATCCCAGCTACTCAGGAGGCTGAGGCATGAGAATCACTTGAATTCAGGAGGCAGAGATTGCAGTGAGCCAAGGTGGAGCCACTACACTTCAGCCTGAGTGACAGAGGGAGACTCCATCACACACAAAAGAAGTAAATATCCCCTTTTCTCCCTCATGCTAGATATACATATGAACTAAGCAGAAGGACTCATCTTCCAGAAGTATTCCTCAGTAAAGTACTTGACCCAACCCTAAAAAGACTTGGTGAATGCTGTGATGCTAAAGACTCAACTGCCTGTTTTAATGTTAAGGTATATTTACTAGATTTTCTTTATTAAGCACCTACATCAAGAGTTGGCAAATTATAGATCATGGGCCAAAACTTGCTCACTGCCTACTTTTGTATGGCTTACAAACCAAAAATAGAAAAATGGTTTTACAGTTTTACATTGTTGGGGGGGAGGACAATAGAACATCAGTATCTCATGACCCATGAAAATCATACAAAATTCACACTTCAGTGTTTATACATTAACTTCCACTGGAACAGTCATCTTCATTGTTTCTGCAAAGCTTACAACTGCTTCTGTACAGAATTGAGTAGTTTCAACAAAGACCATATATGCCCTGCAAACCCTAAAGTATTTATTATCCAGCCTTCTGTAGAAGATATTTGCCAGTGCTTAATGTAGGCAACATTTTGATTTGACTGCCTGATGGGACAATGTTTCAAGACAAATAATTTTGTTATGCAATTATTGTTTTCTTACAGGGCCCTCTACTAAAGAAGGAACTGGCTTCTTTCATTGACAAGGGACAAGAACTATGTGCAGATTATTCAGAAAATACATTTACTGAGTACAAGAAAAAGTAAGAAACTTGTTCTGGCTGTATCCTCCAAATTTATCAATAATATTTTCTTAGTACTATGAATTGAAAGCATAGTTGAAAATGTAAGATTGTCTTCAGTGAACAATAAAAAGAGGAGGCACAATTAGGAGTTTTTTTAAATAGTCAGAATCTCATAGAGTAGAATAATAGACATTGGAGACCTCAAAGGGTGGGAGGGTGGAGAAGGGTGAAGGATAAGGAAGTCCCTCTTGGGTACAGTGTACACTATTTGGGTGATGGTTGCACTAAAAGCCTAGACTTCACCACTGTGCAATACATCTATGTAACAAAAATGCACTTGTACCCCCTAAGTCATTTTATTTTTAAAAAGTAGTTCAAAATCTATCTGTATAAGAAGAAGCTAAGTGTTTTTCTGGGGGAAAATTGTCATGTGTATCAAGTGGGTGGGCAATTGAAACACAGCCACAAAAGTATAGATTACAAAATCTATCTGCAGGAACTTGATTCAAAATGGCAAAATGAGTACATAGCTTGTCACCATTTTTATCCCAGAATTTTCTGTAGATATTGCTATATAAAATTGAGGACCTATAAAACTGCTGAGAAACATTATAACTTCATGGCATATTGCCTGGCAAGAAGACCCACACTTTCAATCAAGCATAGTGTCAGCCATCAACTGCATATATTCCCTATAAATTAGAAATAGAAATCTTAACCACCAATAATATTATTGGTGGTTTTGTTTTCTCAAGTCATTTTTCTCAGTGAGGAGGAGGAAAAGCATTTCTCTATTAATAGGCATTAACTGTAGAATAATAGGCCATAGTAAGGAAAGAAGTGGTACTGGGTTCTTGAGGAAAGTCTCCATTGAGAAAACTATGTCATTTTCCCAAACTACATTTAGTAAATTTCTCAGATCCTAATCCCTACCCACCTCCCCCCTACTTCTTTTTTGCATGAGTCTCTTCTTGCTTCATTTGAGCACCCCCTCCCCACTACCTTGGGGTTCAACAATGCTTTTATGAACTAACTGATCCCCTTTACCCTTTTGTGCCCTCCCAGCACCCACCCTTGCCAAGCCCAAGTCTACATTAATATGGGTCTTCTTACCTCCCATTGCCCAGTGCTGGGCTGGCAAGCATTTCCTGAGTAAAGTCATAAAACCAGGCTGGGTTGTTTATCATGAGTGTGAAGAGACACTGAGATCATTGATTGTTCAAATTGAAAGAATCAGGAGACATCAAGTCCCATCACTATCCTGAAAGAGAGATGAAGAGTTCGTTTTTAGTAGAGCTAAATACAAAAGCCAGTTTTCTGACTCTCATATCAGTGTTTTCCAACATAGTGAGTTGAGAAGTAGGTAAACTGAAGGTGAAAGTATATAAATTATGAGAGAAAAAAAAAGGCATTAAGTTTGCCAACTTAATGAGGTCCTGTAGAGGAAATATTTTTTAAGGAATTTGAAATCTAAAACTGAAGAGAAGATGAAAGGTTAGGAAAAAAATAGAAGTATTCTTCCATGTTGAAGTAATGAGCAAATGAAAGAATAAAGACTGGAATTCCAGTTCAGCAGTTATTTGTATGTTTACGTTCATGATCTCGAAGAGGCATAGGTTTCACTTTCTGACCTCAAACTGACGTTTCTATACCACAGGTGTAGAATTTTCTTGAGACTGGCAAGTATTTCTATTTTCATTTTTATTGTAAAAGATCTGAAATGGCTATTATTTTGCATTAGACATTTTTATAAAATAAATACATCTAGTAAGATCTTACATTTAAATGTTTTTTCAGACTGTCAGAGCGACTAAGAGCAAAATTGCCCGACGTCACACCCAAGGAACTGGCAGGGCTGGTTGACAAGCGCTCAGACTTTGCCTCCCACTGCTGTTCCGTAAACTCACCTCCTCTCTACTGTGATTCAGAGGTAGGAGAATGTAACCCTCTACTTAACACAGCAGAATAACTTAAGAACTTATGCACTCGGATCTATTCATTTCTTTCCTGTTATTGAGACACCATTATGTGACAGGCTTTTCCTGGTGCTATTATAACTTGGCTGTCTTTGCAATGAAAGTAAGAAACATAATTGTTTTCATGTTATACTCATTTAAAAGCAAGTTGCGGCAGTTGTGAAACATGAAATTTTATACTTTTTTAAGAAACAAAAAAGTTTGTGAATACAGGCAACAAAGAACACATAGTGTTTTACAAATTGTGGGTTGTAACCTAGTAACAGCCTTTTTAAATGAAAAGGAGAAGAATAAGAATACAGTGAAAACATCCAAGTTCATTACCTTCACATAGTGAAGGTAAATTGTATTTCATGTATCTGTGTCTGTGATTATGTAGATACATACATATGCATGTTTAGGTAGGTAGATTGATAAAAGGAAATACTTTTAGAAAAATGGGGTTATATCATAGTTTCTATTAATATGTTAATTATAGAAATATTACATTTGTTTTAACATGACATAAGAAAAAGAAATGCAACTGAAGAATTTCTAAAGGTCACATAAATGTTTCTTTAAGAGTTATTTTCTAAAAGCTAAAAAATGATTTTAAAGAATATTAAAATGTTAGTCTTCTTTATTACAAATTTCTTTTTAGACACTATCTATTGGTTCCAAACTCTGAAAGATAAAGATACTAGAACTCCTATATCTTCCAACTTCCCTCTCTACTTCCTTCAATTTTGGATAGTTCCTGGGTTCATCTTTCTTTAAATGTTCCTTCCCCTCATCCCTGTCTCTTCTTTTTCTTTTTTCCCCTCCCGCTTCCTGGTTCAGGTCCAATAATGTTAACAGTAAAATAACCCCTTCCCCTATTCCCCTTCTCCTTTCTCTCTTTCCCCTTCTCTCCCATAAATGTATTTGCATAGTTGCCAGATCATTTATTTTTTAACTTGTGCAAAACACGGGCAGTTCTGGCCAGACCTTTCTGTTTTCTCTGATGGTATTAATAGATGAATTATTGTTTATCTAATCACTGCATCTGAATCGTATTGGTTTTCTCCTATGAACCACAGTGTTAGGTTGGGATCTTGTATTCTGCCCATCTTCATATAGACTGAAGGTGTGAGAGAAGGGAGGAGACCTCAAGTAGGCTGTGTGAGCCCACTGTTAGTGGACCTGAGCTATGCTCCAATTTCTGAGACTTCAAGCATCTTATTCTAAGATTTCTTTCACTAAGTAAGCATCTGCCTTGTTCTCATGGTGAGGGGTGTGTTTTGATGGCTTTTTCGGAAAATGTCAGCCCATATGTTCACATCCTCCATTTTACCTGTTACTCTCCAGCAAGCATTTCATTTTTTTAGAAGAGCCAAAAGGTAAAAACACTTCATTTCACTTAACTGCTTATTTGGAGACATTAGTAATAACTTCAAGAATTTTGTTGTCTTGTCCATTCTATTTCTGAAATATAGAGGCAGGGTAAGGAACAATTCTATGCCATACCAAATGATACTTAGATTAAATGATTTAATGCCAATTAGAAGCCCTTAAGCCCCCCTTTTTTTTTTTTTTTTTTTTTTTTTGGAGATGGAGTCTCATTCTGTCACCCAGGCTGGAGTGCAATGGTAAGATCTTGGTTCATTACAACCTCTAACTCCTGGGCTCAAGTGATTCTCCTGCCTTAGCCTTCCAAGTAGCTGGGATTACAGGTGTGTGCCACCACACCTAGGACATTTTTGTGTTTTTAGTAGAGATGGGGTTTCACCATATTGGCCATGCTGGTCTGGAACTCCTGACCTCAAGTGATCCACCCGCCTCGGCCTTCCAAAGTGCTGAGATTACAGGTGTGAGCCACCACGCCTGGCCAGAAGCCCCTTTCTATAAGTAAAATAATTTAAGAATTTACGTGAAGTTTTATTCATTTATTAGCCACGAAAGCAACAAAGCCCAATTTCTATTAGAGCACATTTAAAAATATTCAAGAACTTAATTTTTAAAAAAGCAAGTCAAAATTTATATTTTTTAAAAAAGTATAAATGTTCAAAGAAAACTATAAAGATCATCTAGTGTAATTTCTCACTCAGTTAATTCCTTCCAGAGGTGCATTCAGCCTTCACTTAAGTTTTTTTGTTTTTTGTGGGTTTTTTTGAGGTGGAGTCTTGCCCTGTCGCCAGGCTGGAGTGCAGTTGCACGATCTTGGCTCGGCTCACTGCAATCTCTGCCTCCTGGGTTCAAGCGATTCTCCTGCCTCAGCCTCCCAAGTAGCTGGGACTACAGGTGCACACCACCATACCCAGCTAATTTTTGTATTTTTAGTAGAGACGGGGTTTCACCATGTTGGCCAGGATGGTCTCAATTGCCTGACTTTGTGATCCACCCATCTTGGCCTCCCAAAGTGCTGGGATTACAGGCATGAGCCACCGAGTCCAGCCATTTAAATTTCCATAGTCAATTTATCTACTCCTAGGAGTAGAAATGGAAATGGCCTATTTCATTACCAGGTAGCTGCATTGAATGTTCTCTTATTCAATGAGAACTATAAATTAAGCTGTGATATTCCCGGTGTAATTTCTCCTGAGATCACCCTGGCTTTTGCTAGCAACTAGAAAATGTCTCTGTTAGCAATAGCAGCTGTCTTATACTTAAAGTGGCTTTAAAAAAATTAGGCTGTGTAAATTATTTTTTAAAAGTCTTGGGCTATGCATACCAAATTTCTTAATATTCATATTTTAGTAAAGTTTTATTTGTTTTGTTTTGATTTCGTTTACTATATGGTAACTAAGAAATAAGTCTTAGTTTGACAAATGGAATTACATATTTTTCCAATGTCTTCCTTATAACTTTAGGGATTCTGGTTTCTTTTCTAATTTCCATATTTACACTCTGGTCCCAAATCTATTTGCTAATCTTGTTTGTAACAATTTATAAAGTCAGAATTCCAAATGAAAAGAGTACGGTAGAATAAAAGCCCTTTTTTTAAGTTCTACTGCTAAATATGCCATCTTTATTGTTCATTAAAATCCAAACTACTTAAGATTTTCAACATAAAAACAGAAGAAGCTGGATTGTCAGAATATTTTGTGGGCATTAAAACATTTTTCACATAAAATAATTAAATTGAACAGTTCTTTCCTTTCATACCAACTTGCTTTTTGAGTTTCAATTTAGGTGGCCTTAACCCAGAAAAATAAAATCACCTTACATATAAGTTGTTTCCTACCAGAAAATTTTCTCTGAGAGTCTATTACAAAAGAAGAAAAAAAAAACCAGTCTAAATGTTCTTTTAGAGTCTATAAGAAATATCACTCCTGAAATCCTTCCCTACCCCTTTGTCTATGCAGATAAGCACTGTCCTGCCTAATACTGTACAAGACAAATTGAGCTTTAAGCATAAGTTCATGCTCACTTCTAGCCCCTTGTTTTTTATTTACTTGAGTTGGTTTTCAATATATTTTTCATTATAACATATTGCCATTCAAATCACCACAATGATGAGAAGGCAAGTTTGTAGCTATCCCTCTTCTTGCGTTATCACCAATAAATTTATAGCAGCTGAGTAGCTTACCTTTCAGTAATTGCTAAAGTAGAGTGAGATGGAGTTATTGAGATGAATGCAGTTATTGAGTTACTTGTGCATATTTGATTATTCAGAGCACTCAGAGATTAAACCTTCTGCTGTTTCAATTAGCCTTCTGATTGCCTTTCTACACTGACCATATAGCTAGGCAGGCAAGTTCATCCCTCCTTTCTGATTTTAGTACAACATCTGTTTGCACAGCATTCTCTTTAATTTCCAATGCTCAACGTGAATGTCCCACTTTCTCTATAATATTTGGATCATAATTTGTGAGATGTCTTTGTCATATATTTGCTTGACAAAATTTTTCCTTAAAAGTGATATCCATCTACTCCTTTCCCTCCCATCACTTATATCCAGGGATCAGTCTCTACTTGTCATTCCAAATACACTTGGCACAAGTACTGGAAGATTGGCAAAAGGGGCCTCTGAACCACATTAATTTAGTGTTTCATTACATGGGTATCTACCCCTATCCTCACCCTTATCGTGAAATGAGCAGGAAATAGAACAACCATGTCATTTTCTTTTGGTTTTACCATGGCATTCTCAGAACTGATTCATTTGCTTATGCCAAAAAGGCCCATTTGCCTGCAGAAAAACATACAGTTACAAAATTAGACTTGAAATATTTTTTTCTCTTTCTACCATCATTCAGGCAGGGCATCCCCTTGTGCTCTTCTGAGAACTCATTACTATGCTTCCTTTAAAATGTTTCAGCTAGTGAGCATCAGATATGATTTCCCAAAGTATTCTGAAAGTCACTGTAATATGCTGGAATTGATCACAAAAGTCTTAAAAACATAGAGACAGATACAAATAGCCAAGTGGAAGGCAGGCAAAGACGATACTGACAAGCAGAGTGATATACTGTCTATCCCCTCCCCTTTGCCTTTCTTATATTAGGAAAAACTAGTATATTCACTGTAGTTTGTTTTATTTCTCGGTATAAGTAGATTTTATAATCCTCAGTGTCGTAGCTATCATTGATTAAGCTATTGCTATATGTTAAGCAGAACTATTCATAGCCTGACACATATGTATTTATAGAATAACCCAAAACATTTCTAGATGTTATTATTTTAATTCCCATTTTACAGATGTGTTGCATCAAATTTGTAGAGGCTACATGATATTAAGAAAATCTAACTTTATTCTATATTAGTCTGTTACTCTCCCTCAATGTCCTTGTCTTAGACTTTAGCCCTAATTTAGCTAATCGTGACAAAAGCAAAGTATTGCTACCAGAAGACTATTGACTGAAAATCCAAAATTATTGTTAAGTAGCAAAAAATGATACTATGTTGGTAGTATCACTCTGAATTCTACTCGCCTCACTTCCTTGGACTCTTCCTCCATTAGATATTCTCTCTTCTTTTACATCAACATTTTTTACCAGCTCTGTCTAATTTGTATTAAAGTTATTCTTCTTATCTGAAAAAAATAATAAATAAGTCACTTTAGACACTTCCCTAGCTATATTTCTTTCACCTCCCCTTACAGCCAAGATTCTTATAAGAATACCATATACACCAACTCCTCACACCTTCTATTAATTTCTCAACCCTTTGGAGTCTGGCTTTTGATGGTACTGTATGATTATCAACAAAGGCATGCCAACAATATTCTTATTGCTAAATCTCATAAACATTTTTTAGTTCTTACCAACTGTCTCTGCAAAACACTTGATACCCATAAGTATTCCTTCCTTCTTGAAACAATTTCTTTAGCATCTGCATTATTATTTTCTACTTTTTGTCTTTCTATGATTCTTCTCTTCTTCTTCTATTTCACATTGTCCTCTTCCTTTACCTATCCCTTAAATTTGTTTTCCAGGGTTTTTTCCTTGGTCTCCACTTCCATGACGCTACATTTTCCCAACTTTTTTCATCAATGCATATGCCTTGAATCTCCAAATCTCTACCTCCAACCATGATCTCTCCTTCAGCATCAAGCTTTTTATCTAACTGTCTATGGGACTTTCTTTTCCCCCAGTAGCTTGTCCCATAAGAAATCTTAAATCAACATGGCCAAAATATAGGCCAACTTCTATAACCTTCTCTTGAGTTTTTTAAGTTTATGATTATTATCATCATTTACCCATTGCCCACGATAAAAATTTAGTGACTCTTTTTATTTATCCTTCTCTTATTCCTTATGCAGCAAATAAAATTGCAAATCTCATCAATTCTAACTCTGTAATGTCTCTCAATCTCCCACCCACATTCTTCTACATTCCTAATATTTAGTTTCAGGCAATCTTTCGCCTAGATTACAGCCTGTCCTTTGGTCTCCCACCTCCAGTCTGCCCACATTGCCTCACTTCTAATCCCATCTCTATGCTGAGGTCAAATCAACCTTTTTAAAACACAAAAATGGTTAATACACTACCCTAATACTTTTCATTGCTTCCAAATTAAAAAGTACACTTTTTTTTTTTTTTTTTTTTTTTACCAAATAGAGATATTTTGGACCTTGATTTCTTCTCCAAGCAGTAATTTGCTATCACCCCTTGTCGTGCCTCCTGCTTGGGTTCTCCTGAACTACTTGCCATTTTCCAAATGCGTTGAACTTGCTCTTACCTCAAAACCTTTGCACATAATAACTCCACTCAATTGCCCTATTTCGCATCAGGCTTGCTTTGGCTGAATCATTTATCAGGCTTTAGAGTTCAAGTGAGAAGACATGACCTCCTCTGAGAACTCTTCCCTGACACTCAAACTTCTCTGTTGTCCCATACATTCCATGTGCACCCAATAATTAGCACTTATTAAACCCTACTGCCATTTTTTCTTGTTTACATTTCCCAGCAGACTGTAAGCCCTTCAAGGGCAGGGATGACGTAAAGCTGAATAAATGTGAAGGGTGGCTAATAAAAACTGCAATGTAACATTGCATTCTGGCAAGAATCTTCTGCTCTAACCAAGGTTTCAAGATTTTGTATACCTTCTGCATAATCTAGTAGTCTACAAATGAAATACTTCATAAATGATGTAACATTCCTTTTTCATTATCAGATTGATACTGAATTGAAGAATATCCTGTAGTCCTGAAGCATGTGTATTAACTTTGGTAAGTGTATTTTTAAAATCCAGGACCAAAGAATTCAGCACTGTACAGTGTATTTTAAATATCAAAGAATGGGAAGGAGATTTTAATAAATTTATCTACTCAAACTCGTTTTACAGATAAGAATATTAAGCAATGAGAAAAGTTAAAGAGCTTACACTTACACAAGAGCACACAGCCAACTTCTGATATATTTAAGACTAGAATCCAGGTTTACTGGCCCCCTGCCTTGTGCTTCATCCATCATAATCTCACATGTAACATAATGACAGTATAAAGAACATTTAAAGGATTCTCATGCACTTCAGTAGGAAGAACTCTGAGTGTAAAGACAGGGTTCATCAAGTCTTACAAATAACACAGCAGGGACCTTAGGAAGAAAGGGACTTTCTTATTCAAATTAAAACAACACTGTTAAAATATTATTACTTGCTTTTTTCAGTTACTATATTTTCACCTATTAAAAATGCCAGATGAAGATATTAAGAACCTAAAATAGTTTATTCTGACATAACTTCACATCTTAAACTGAAGGTGACCTGAACTCTGCACATTTCAACAAAAACATTTTTTCTCCAGATTCAATTGTATTTATTCAAAAGAAATTATACATGAGACTTTAAAAGATGCAAACTGGTTTAGATCTCAGTTCTTAGCTGAACTGAGGCTTTTCAATAATGTCAATTATTTTGCTGACAACCGTGCCCAAAATAATGTAGACACAAAAGCCTTCTAATCCGTTGACTAATAACATTAAATTATTTCACCATGTTCATATTTTCAATTATTAATTATTTAAATCTTGTGAGGCAGTAAAAAAGAAAATTAACACTCTGAGAACCAGTACTAGGGGGATTGTCAAGAAAACTCATTTTTGAAATCACTCAACCTGGATTAGAATCCCCACTCTAAGCATCTGGCTTTGTGAATTTGAGCAAGTTATCTATTCTGTCAAAAGATGAGTTTCCTTTTATCTAAAATGAAAATTTCAGTATCTACCTCAATATAAAATTTCAATTTTTATGACTGAGATGATGTATATAAAATGTCTAAAAAAACTAAAAATGAATATTAGCAGTAATACTAGCAAAGTTGTTGCACTGATTATCCTACTAGTACTGAAATGAATCTAAAACGTTTTTCTGCCCATATATATGCCAAAGCACAAAATGTGCCACTGTCCTAAAGATAAAGTAAGTTTTCTCAATAACTTCCAAGGAAAATACTTTCTGATCTCACTAACTGCTAAATTATTACTCTTCCCCCCATTTGAATGAGTCTACTTTTCCTTTATCTCAATCCACATGTAATAATCTGCAAAAAGTTAAAATCCCAATACAAAACATTTACTTCACCTCTCATCCTTCAAGATTTCTTAAGTTTTAATTAAGAGTCAGGGTTATTTGGAAAGCTGTATGATAACTTTGATTTCAAATATGTTTTTCACTGGACTATTATTCTTCAGAACTCAGAGTGTATTTCCTTAATGTTATATGTTTTCAGGCTTTGGGAAAACTAAAATAGGAGAAGATATTCTAAGATAAGTAAAGGAGAAAGTAATAATCTGATGGATTTCAAAAGACTTCTTTTCAGAACAAATTTCACAAGTATTTTTAATGCTAACTAAATCAAGAGATAAATTTAGTTTGTCAATGACATATTAATGAAGATTCTAATATACTGATTCTTCTGGTTCAGGTCATTATTTTCATCTTCTGTAGACATTTCTTATCATTTCTCCTCTGTTAGTCTACATTTTTCTCTGACCTTTAATTAATTCTTTGATTTCTATACCACTCAATTTTTTGGCTTCCCAAATACATTGTGATCATCTGAATGGATTATTCACATTTCACTTATTCCTTCTTAAGATTGTTCACATATTCCTTCCATGGATATTGGCAACATTCATTCACTCTTCTGAGCTCAATTTTATCCACTGCCTATTTATCACTATTGCATTCTGCAATGATGAAGGCCTACCAACACTCAATTATTTTGGGAATAGTTACATGACTTTGAAAAGGAAAATTTTACCTCGTTCACAAGGTTATGAACCTCTGTGACCAGCCTTAGCTACTTGATATCCAGAAATAATGAGACCACAACTTTACCACTTGTCTTAGCTTTCCAGAACATAACCAACTGATTGCAGTTCCTGGGTTCCAGGGGGAGTTTTGTAGCTGTATTGGACAACTGTGAAGTCATTCAACTATCAGCAGCATTGCCTCAAAAATAACACAATCCTCGTCATGAGCTGCTCTAAATCTGAGTCTTAATGATTTCAGAGTAAATGCCGAGGACTTTCCCTCAGATAGATCAGTCTTTTCAATATATATTAAACTATTCGAGTAGAAAATATTAATTTTCTTCAATGATTTTTCCCTTGCTGTAGCAGGTAATCTCTTCAGCCACAGAAGTGGCACATAGTTTAGAGTGAAGCAGTTGCTAAAACCATTAAGCCAACTTGGTTGGCTGTGTATTTCATTTCCATTTAAGCCTACCCATCTCTAGTTAGGGACCTGAATCCCTCATTTAGAAGCTGAAGCCTTTTATCTCAAGGTATTCCAATCCCTAGTACTATCTACAATTCAACAGTTTCACGTTATTTCACTCTCAACTAGAGTCTTATTAAAAACTTCAGTTCTTATCTTGACAGTTATTGGTCTCCTTGATCAATCTTTTACTTAAAGCCTTCAAGTTCTAAATTGATGGTGGCCATACTTGCACGCACTTTTGGAGAGAGAATCGCTGTCTCTTAATAAATCTCACAAAGCCAGAAATATTTTGCCATTAGCTATAGAAGAAGTAGTGGTCCCTTCAGGTTGCCAAAACAATAAACGAGTTGGCTCACAATGTAGAATCAGGCTGGGTAAAAAATATTTTCGATACCAGAATCACAATCAACACAGAGAGTTGCTCACACTATGAGAGAAACATAGGAAGTCAGGCTGTGAGAAGATTCAAGTCTCTCATCCTATCCTCACTCCAAAGCATAAACTCACTGAAGACAATGAAACATAGAGTTTTTTATACTGTGCAAATAGAACTACGACATAACTATATTGTCTTGGAAGAGGGGAAAAAAACTTAAAGGTAGACAAATTGGTCCTAATACAATGTAGAAGATGATTTGATAAAAATTCATACTCAGTGTTTTGCTAAAATAAAAACTACTAAACTATTGTCTCAATTCCATGATCAAGTGGACTCATTATGCCACTGGTTGACAGTTTTGCCCTGGCCATAATTATTATCATAAAGCAGAAAGTCACATTCATCACTAGTTTAAAAAATATTTTAAAAACACTGCACAACGTACAATATACCCTGGGGTATCAATGGTAATGGCTTTATATGCCATATATATATACATATATATATATGTATATATATGTATGTATTAATTATATAAATCCATCACTATTGGTATTGGAAATGTCCTACATTTTTTTCTTAATCTGGACTTATGAGATAAGCCATAGTGGATATATGGGTCATCCTAGACAGACTAATTTTTGGCATAAATATTAAAATAGCATGAGGTTATATGCATCTATTGAGCAATGTTATGATTGTTGCCAATTAGCTCTGTTTTTCTAACATAAAATTCATTTCACTATTCTCATAGACCTAGAGCCAGAGCCACCCTGGGAAAATGACCTCTGATGACTTAACCTAAGCAAAACCACTGAGCTTCTGGGGAGACAACTAGGATACTTTCTACTTTTTCTAGCTACAGTGTCTTCATACAATGATAAGTATCATGATTTGCTATCAAAATAAATTGAAATACAATGCAAACCATAAATATGACTGAGAATTATGTGGATCTTTACAGTGTTGATCTTGAGAACTGTTCCTGTGTCTTTCACAAAAATGCCACAGTAGGCAATCTCATAAGGCCTGTTTTTGTCTAGATCTCTGCTGTTTCCTTCTAAAAGACTCAACATTAAGCATCCACTTTACAATTCCCAATATACTAAACTCCATTCCCTGATTGATTCTCAGGCTTAGCAGGTACCATTAAGAAAATGTTGAGCCAGTCACAGTGGCTCACACCTGTAATCCCAGTATTTTGGAAGGTCGAGGTGGGTGGATCACAAGGTCAAGAGTTTGAGACTAGCCTGGCCAACATAGTGAAACCCCATCTCTAATGAAAATACAAAAATCAGCCAGGCATTGTGGCATGTGCCTGTAATCTCAGCTACTCACGATGCTGAGGCAAGAGAATTGCTTAAACCTGGGAGGTGGAGGTTGTGCTGTGATCGCACCACTGCACTCCAGTCTGGGTGACAGTGCAAGTCTCCATCCCCCCAAAAAAGAAAAGAAAAAGCTGGACAGACTTCCCCCATAAAGCCTAGAATATCTCACTTTTTAAAAACTAACAGTAAAAACACAACAACAGCAACAAAAAAACTCCTGAAACTACCTTCTTGCCTCCAGCTACAGGTTGCTTGGAATTAACTAGGTAGCATCTGCATTGCAAAAAGAAAATCTTTGTAACTTGAACAAATTTATTCTTGCAAAAAATGCCTGAGAGAAATTTATAAAGTTCTAAAAACATGATTTTTCTACTTAACTCAGTGTACCACTTATAAAAAAATATATAATATTCTATATGTCTTCTTTGCTCAGGGGAAAGGAAAGTGTTCTCTCTATTCTACTTTAAAGGAAAGTTCAAATATTCAGAATAAATACCTCTCTGAAACTATGGCAAATCATGCAACCTTCCACATGTAGAGTTAATTGTGTCAGGGAATTTGAATTCAACTCATGTTAGATGTACAGTTATACAATAGATGAAGCAATTTTTATGGCAAATATAATTGGAGTTAAATTAACTAACATACCTGTCACTTCTCAAAATTCTATGTCCCATGAAGAAGCATTTCCTTAATTGAACCAAGGTCAAGTCACTTTCTGTCATCCAAAGAACTTCTCTGGTTGAGGTTTATTTCTCATTTTGAAATCTTAGTGAAAGGTAGGGCTGTACTTTCTATGTAGAAGCTTCAAGGAGCAGGTATTTTATTTCCCAGTTCCTGGAAAAGGCACCTTTGCTTCAGTTCCCAAAAAGTTCCTCATCTCCATGTGAGACCATCTCAGCCTGGACCTTATTGTACATATGGCTGTCAGTTTTCTGGTCAAAGCTATTCAACAATCTCTAGGAAGTTTCAAACTTTCCCACATTTTCCTGTCTTCTTCTGAGCCCTCCAAACTGCCCCAACCCCTGCCTTTTACCCAGTTCCAAAGTTGCTTCCACATTTTCAAGTATCTTTTCAGCAGCGCCCCATTCTACTGGTACCAATTTTACTGTATTAGTCTGATCTCATGCTGCTGATTAATATAATATGCAAGACTGGGCAATTTACAAAGGAAAGAGGTTTAATGGAGAATTCACAGTTCCATGTGGCTGGAGAATCCTCACAATAATGACCGAAGGAAAGGAGGAACGAGTCACAGCTTACGTGAATGGCAGCAGGCAAAGAGAGCTTGTGCAGGAAAAGTCTCACTTATAACGATCAGATCTCATGAGACTTACCCACTATCATGAGAATAGCATTGGAAAGACCTGGCCCCATGATTCAATTACCTCCCACAACTCATGGGAATTCAAGATGAGGTTTGGGTGGGGACACAGCCAAACCATATCAAATTTGTTTCTAAGAATGATGTTTACAAGTTATATCAGTGAGGATTCTCTGAGGAAACAGAAACAACAGGAGATAAATAGATTTATTTTAAGAAATTGCTTATGCATTTGTGAAGCCTGAAATAGCCTAGAAACACAGGCAGGATTTCTATGTTACAGTGTTGAACTTGAGTTCTTCTTTCCTGGATAAACCTGTTTTTGCTCTTAAAGCCTTCAACTGGATGACATTCACTCACATTATCAGTGGTTACATGTGCAAGATCTCTTTTCAGCAATGTCTAGGCTAATGTTTCACAAACGATTAGCATAGCCTAGACAAACTGGCACACAAAAATTAACTATCACACAAACCTTCTCTTGTCATCTATAAGGCCTAAAATCTTTCAACTTGCAGTATTGACTTCCTGTGTTTCTCTGGATTCCTAGGTCATCCCACGGGTGGTTCTTATTTTTTTTTTTTTTTTTTGAGACAGAGTCTTGCTCTTTCATCAGGCACCAGGCTGGAGTGCAATGGCACAATCTCGGCTCACTGCAACCTCTGCTTCCTGGCTTCAAGCAATTCTCCTGCCTCAGCCTCCCAAGTAGCTGGGACTACACGCATATGCCACCACGCACGCCTAGCTAATTTTTGTATTTCAATAGAGACAGGATTTCACTATGTTGGGCAGGATGGTCTCGATCTCTTGACCTCATGATCCACCTGACTCAGCCTCCCAAAGTGCTGGGATTACAGATGTGAGCCACCACGCCTGGCCCCATGGGTGGTTCTTAAACATCACCTGGGATCCATTACCTTAAACAGCCTTCACAGAATTAGAGTATTAATACCTCACCTGGAAATTCTAAAGAAACAAAGCTTTTTAAGAAGATTTTAATTTAAAAACAACAAGCGAAAGACCTTTCTAATGTGTCATTTCATTCAATAGCAAGTGGGTCCTAATGAAGCAAGAATTTAATCAGCTTGAGAGTTTACCCAGTTTCCATTTGGAGATAAATAGCTAAAAATAAATAAGAAGACTTAGAACGTTGTTTCTACATCTCTGCTCTCCCTTTGGTGCACTTTTCCCCACCGCAGAGGCCTCACCCTCCCTCAACCTATGCATGTGATTCCCAATCATAGCTGCATCTTAGAATTACATGGAGAATTTTGGAAAAAATACCAGTGCCCAGGCACCCCCTCAGAGATTCAGATTTAAGCAATCTTGAATGAAACCTGCCCTGCAACCAAACCTGCCAATCACTGCTTTAGAAGCTTGGTCCCTTCACCCAAATCAGAAAAATATCTTGGATTAACCGATTAAAGATGTTGGCTAAATGACTAATGAAACTGTAGGAAGTGTGAATTTCTAACACTGCCTTATCTCAGTCTGGCATTGCATTTTGAGTATTTTTTCCTTAATTATAAAATAAACTCTTATCTCCCACTAAAGAAATCCCAGTCATAGATAATCAGGTCAAACAATTCTCTTTCCCAGGGTCTATTTTAATCCTTGTCCATTTCTTCAAGGATCTGAAATATTATTTTCTCCATTGGGCCAAGAAAGCGTCTAATTGTTTCTTCCACGACGCCCACCACCACTAAGCTACTAGTTTCATAATGAATGCATTCTGGCAAGTTCTAGTTTGCAGTTAACAATAGTAGTACATTATTGCTCATCCATGGATAAGGCACTGGAGATTCATATATTACTTCTACCCAAGTAAGAAAGTTTCTAATAATGGATTGACTGTCTATGTCTATTCTCTTCAATATCAAAAGTACAAATCTTTTCATCTGTTGTATGCTGCACCATGAAACCCCTCTAAAGAAATGCCTATTTCAGATAAAAACCTTTGCCTCCACCTTGTGGATGACATGTCAAAATGCAGATGACGGTGCAAAATTGGTTGCTTCTCTGCTCACCACTCAGCTGCTTGTATCCTCAACACTCAGCCACTTGTGTTGCTCTGCCAGCTGAAATCTTTTTATGGGCAGAGGATAGGGGAAGTGGCAGGCCAAAAAAGGCAATATTCGGGTAGGAAAAAAAAAGTGTCCGCTGTTTTCACTTAGGGCCTTGATTCCAGGCTTAAGGATGGGGTTTACCCAGGAACACAGCCCTCTGTATCAATAGGGTCTCACTCTGTCGCCCAGGATGGAGTGCAGTGAAGTGATCATGGTTCACTGCAGCCTTGACCTTCTGGGCTTAAGTGATCTTCCCAACTCAGTCTCCTTAATAGCTGGGATTACAGGTACACCCCACCTCACCCAGCTAATTTTTTCTATCTTGCAGAGGCAGGGTCCCACTATGTTATCCAGGGTATTCTCAAACTCCTTGACTCAAGCAATCCTCTCACCTCACCTCCCAAAGTGCTGGGATTACAAGCATCAGCCACTGCACCTGGCCCACTATATCTCCTTAACCTCTAAGCATACTCTCGACATTGAAATCGGTAGCTGGATATATACTAACAATTCTGAAGGGTATTTTGCTATCAATCACAATTATCAGGTAAAAAAAATTAAAAAGGCTTTATATCTATTTCCTTTTATCCTAGTTTCATAAGAAAATTATATCTAGCCAGGCTATGTTTTGTGGAATATATCTTTTAAGCAAACATTTATTGATCATGTAGTCAGCATTTACAAAGCACTATGCCTATCATCGAAGGAACTTCTGTTCTAATAGGGAAGACAGACACATGAACTAATAAAGTTAGGAACTGAATGACCCAGGTAGAGAGAAGGGTATTGCTGAGGATGAGCTGAGAGGAAAACTGGTCGGTGGCAGGTCTACAGCTTGAATATTGGCACAGGCTCTTTGACATGAAATGGTGTTCTCTGCTATTAAGTCAGCTCCAGGGCAGATGACCTTGTAAGGCTTCTTGTCCTGTGCAGGGAGCTGCCGTCTGTCATTTCTCCTCCTTCAACTCATCAGCTAACACAGCTTTCCTGAAATTCCATCTGGGAGTTGAAGCTTAGAAGGACAATGAGAACAATATATCATTTATTGACTTCTCATTGAAAAGTCACTATATGTTGTTGAGGTCCTTTTTTTTTTTTTTTTTTTTTTTTTGGCTTAACTTTGGTGATAGGTGGAGAGTTGATATATCAAATAATAGGTAAAATAAATCATGCTGCCACCTCTACACCACCAGGTCCTGGACAAACAGAGAAGAAG